CAGTTAGGGTTAATACACCCTTTTTGGCAGTATCCAAGTATCGAAGGGGGTTGTGATCGGTGAGGATGATGCATGTATTTCCCATCAGACAGTCTTTGAATACCTCACACACGGCCTATCGTACACCTAGAAACTCCAGTTTGAATGCAGAGTAGTTGCTATCATTCTTCTCTACTGGGTGCAGTGACCGTGAAGCATAGGTTATGACCGATTTTGCTCCATCAATCTGTTGGGACAACACTGCACCAAGTCCTCTACTGCTTGCATCAGTTCTATGGTGAAAGGCAGGGAAAAATCAGCAAACCGCAAGACTACAGCTTCCATTAACTTCATCTTCAATGCTCGAACCGCTGAACAGGCTGCGTAGTCCGGCTCTATCTTCTTCCCTTCACATTTATCCTTTCCTTATGAGACATTCCCTTCAGGTAAGCAAGAAGTGGAGCATTGACACTTGAATATCCCTGTATGAACTTCCGGAAGAAGCCAGTAAAACCGAGGAACACTCACACTTCAGTGATTGAGGTGGGTTCAGGCCAGTCTTTCACTGCTGCTACCTTGTCTGGGTCTGGCCGTACTCCTAGATATTTGACTTGTGTTTTGAAGAAGTCACACGTGGTTGGCTTTAACTTTAATCCATGGTTTTGGAGCCGCAAGAATACCATTTCCAATCGCTGTAGGTGTTCCTCAAAAGTAGAAGAATAGAGTATGATTTCGTCGAGGTATGTCAGCAGACTCTGCAAGGTTTCATCACCAAAACATTGCTGCATCAAGCTGCTGAATGTAGCAGGACTATTACATGGTCCAAAGGGCATGTGGGTGTACTCCCAGAGCCCAAAGGGGGTTGTGAACGCTGTCTTGGGGATGTCACTTTCTTCCATGGTCACCTGGTAGAAGCCGAATGTAAGATCCATGAAGCAGAAGTATTTTGCACTACCAATGACCTGCAAAGACTCGTTGCTGTGTGGCAATGGGAAAGCACTCTTCAGAATACACTGTTTAGTTGCCGATAGTCTACGCATAGCATACAGACTGATTTCTTACCGCACCAATACAATGGGAGAAGCCCAAGGGCTTACGCTCCCTTAAATCACTCTTTTCTCCAGCAGATCTTTGATGTGTGCCCTGACTTCTTGGTACTGTGATAGTGGAATTGACTGGTATCTCTGTCTAATCGGAGGAGAGTCAGCTGTATCAATGCAATGTTTGACTCTCAGTATAGCCTAGATCATCAACCTACAGGGAGAAACTGTGCTATACTTTTGGAGCAGTTGCACAAACTTGGATGCTTTATCAGGTTTTAACTGATCCCTCAGCTCTACCGTGTGCAGCAATGATGGCACTGACTCCTTGTTAGATGTAGACACAGAAGAACAAAGCACTGAGTTGTGCCCCTCATTTTTGCCATCTGGGGTCAAGGGGTCTCCGTTGTATAGCATGTCAATGCATGCAAGGCTCTGTAGTTTGACATCCTGGCTCGTGTTGTTTGCCACACACACAAAGAATTTACCCCCATGGATGCTGACCAATGATGTGTGTATTAGGATATCGCTTGGTAAGTTGGATGACTCACCAGGCTCCAACACTGCTGGATACTCCAAATTCTTGGGACCGGGACCGGCAGAGGCCTGAAGGACAACCATTTGCTTTGCAGAGACAAGAACAGGTGGGTCTTCAGGAAGATACGCGTTGCTGATCTTATCCTTCTTTGACGTGAACTATACTCTTTTACACACTGCATGCATGGCTTTCTCCCACAATTGGTGGTTGTCACGTGGTTGTAACTTCTTCAGGTGTATCTGTTTATGTGGGGTCACAAGCTCCTTCCAACACTCTTCGAGAACGTTCATTCCAAGGATCCCTGGGGTTGAGCCAGTTGTCAGGGAAGACTCGATAGCTAACACCATCATCGACTTGATGACATGCCCGAGAACTGTGATGTCGGTTTCAAATATGCCCATGCAGGGTATAGCACTGCCGTTTGCTGAAAGAAGCTGAAAATACTCAGGGATGTCGCTCAGTTGTTTACCCACGCACCTTGAAATGTTTGTTGTAATAACTCACAGTTATAGTTGTAACCATTGACCCTGTATCTAGCAGACAAGGTACATGTATCCCGCTCAATGACACTTCTATGGCAAAACAGTCAGTACATTGCCTCCGATGTACATTCCCTTGCGTTGATATCCACGGAGCCTTTATGTCCCACTCTCACTGTCTGGCTCCAAACAGTGGAGGGAGCTAGTTTCCCGCCACATTGCTGTTAGAGCCCTCGTCTTGGTGTGTTGGAATTGAACGGGCATGAGAGTCGGTGATCTGCGGCTTTAAGTACTGGAAATTGCTGCGGGATCGACGACAGGGAGAGCCAAGCAGTCACAAGAAAAGTGGCCTAGCTGGTTACAATTGTAGCTGAAAGTTTGAGTAAAATACTACAGGGATGAATATCATAAAGATCACCTGATGTCGCTAAAGCAACAGCAACAACGTCGCCTGCCGACATGGCCGACGAGCCAGATCAGCTGTAGTAAAAATTACCTCACAATAATTTGTGCATGTACATTGCAAACATCATTTTATGGGGTATCCGTAATGCCCAAATTTGGAAATATTTACCAGTTAATGAATTATTTCTTGCATCCATTTGCTTTGGTTTAGTGGTGCAGTTCGAGGAAAAAACACTTATTTGCTAAAGCTTCACTCCCATCACTTCCTCTAATTCGTTCTCCTAGTTTTTAATTTTTTTTTCATTTTAAATTAAAGTTACCGCGTGGCATGAAGTTTTATTCTTTCAAATACATCATATTTAGCATTAGTATGAGTAACTGATCTGGATATTATGACAAAACTTCAGTTTCTAGGTGTATTTCTGAAAAAGTCCCAAAATACAGTGCCGCCAAATCCGCACCCATTGTTGGCAACGGAAATCTCAAAATATAAGGTCACAGTGCCTTTTCAGGCTTCCTATTTTTGATAACGCCCTCAATATTTCGTGACAATTGCTGAAATTGTTGACTGAAAAAAAATCAGTGCCCATGTCAGACGTCCAACACCGATCATGAACAAACAGCGATCATTTATTCATTTTCTAAACAATTTCATCCAGTTAATTTTTGCTTTTAGTCTGTAAAGTAAAACATTATGCTCTGCAGACATTTTTCCCAAATTCTCACTGGAAAAGCTTTGAATTTACACATAGCTGCAGAAAAATGCCAGAGTGATGAGCACTTATTGACAGTAAATTAGAACAAATATTGAGAACAAATTGGTCAAAGTAGGCCTACTTAGACTCAAATTATGGTGACTTGTGAATATTCCACAATACTGTCGACATGGTTGACATTGGTAGCTAGCCTACATGTAGGTGAAAACGAAACCAAAAGAAGTTTACATCATGACATTTGGGTGAAGTGGAAATGAGGCAAAGTGGGTATAGGGCAAAGTGGTGATGTGGTTAAGGCCTGAAGTGAGTGTAAAGCCGTCAGGGAGTCCACATACTGACATGGGATGCATGGGCTATCAATTATCATCAATCATCTGATCATGCCAATCAATACAGGTGATGCACAATAGTGTGTCTAAAAGAATTTGCAACGTGTTGGCCAATCATAATGCACGAAATCTGTCGACACTTTCCAAAAGCACATAAGCCATTGGGATGTTTCGGGGGTGCAACGAATTCTGGGATTTAATTTGGATAAACAAAACCCACATGGCATAGCCAGCTGGCATTTCGTGCAGAAGCTTGCGTGAAGATCAAAAAGCTGTGCGAAGTAGTTGAACTGTAAGTACCTAATTAAACCAAATTTTCAGCTTTTTGTGCTGATCTTTGTCTGACCTTTGATAAAGTTATTTAACAACCCACAAAGTCAGTTTTGCTTGGATTTTGGCTTGGACAAAAATGGGACTTTTGTGAGATATTTCCAAATGGATCAGCGTGCGTGTTCTGGTCCACGATGTACATGTACAATGGTAATGTTACTGCCGTTAAAATTTTCTCGCGCATATTTTATTACACATTTTACCCGTACACAGGGCCTAACGAATACTCTTTATAGGACAAAGGATCTTAATTATGAGCCTATGGACATAGGCCTACAGTGCAGTGTTACGGTATGGCATGGGCGTACATGTAGCTAGGCCTAAGAGCACTAACAATGTACAAGTTTTAATCAAGTAATTTTCAACTTTCTGCAGTGATATGAATTAAAAAAAAAATTGAGGAGATTATAAGGTCCCCTGTTGTATATATCTAAGGCACACAGTAGAGCGTCATTTATCTTCCGCAATTCGATGTGAACCGGAACGGGAATTCGAAAAACTTACTTACTACCCACTGCAAAACGTGCATTGCTACGGAACGGTGCAGTTTGTTAATCCAAAAAAAGGGTTGTCAAGGCCGATTGGCGCATGTGCGATCGAAACTTCGAAATGGCTTATTGGGTCGACAGATTTCATGCGTCGTGATTGGCCAACGCGTTGCAAACTCTTGGAGGCGCTCTATAACGTTTTTCACTATGAAAAATGGGTTTCCTCTAGGCTCTAGTAATAGTATTAATTTTTTATATTATATTATTTTATATATAATGTTTTATTTAATTATGTTACTTACAATTCTGTCTGCATTCTCTTATTATTGCTTCCTCTCTATGTAAAGGTGTTATTTGGAGATACCTAATTTCTCACATAAAAATGAAAAAAAAAAGTTTTAAAGTAGCCTATGAATGGCCCACTGTCTGACTGTACTCAAACAGCTGCATGACATGCACAACTTGATAGTTGCAAAAAACTTCTCCAGATCCATCCATACAGCGCGCCGTGAACAACCTCGACTCCATGGGCTGCGTGCGCCAACAGGTGTGCCAACATGGCGCGGCAAGATCGTACCCATGAAGACGAGGTTGAGACCTCAGAGTACCAGTCGATAGGAATAATACCACGACCTCACTGGTGTTTCAAGGATCTAGACTAACAATACGGATCACCTTTTTTTCAGCGGTAAGTTTTCAACGTACGCCTACTCGATAAATGTCTGAACCAGGTCACTGAATGTAAAACGAGGTTGATGAAGCTGTGAACCAATCAGGTGAACGATTGCTGTAGACTTTGACCAATCGGCGTAGTGTGTACAACATTCAAGCTAGTTAAGATACGCTGAAAATCTGGGAACAACATAACAGTACACTGCCCAACGGCTAGCTAGCTGTACGTGCTGTGTATGGCTGATGATGCACAGTGCGCATGCATGACATGACTAAGATTAAGAAACGCAAGCTCGCAATTGTATGTTACTACTAATGTTGCACACATTCGCCCAAAACGGAACTGTACAACTCTGCATACTATTCTTCAAAGCTACGCCAATAAATACTGGGTAGGCTTTGGACTCAAATTTTACTCTCTTGTGCTACTGCTAGGCCTAACTGATTTAGGCCTAGGGCCCGGGGCCCAAGACCTTTTGTTTGATAAAATTATTGAAAGTTAGGCCTGGCTAGTAGTTTTTATTAGTAGGCCTAGGCTGTCCTAGGCCCAATTGCTACTACATGTACACTGTAGTCCGAGTTGGATCCTACAAATTTCCTTTTTTAACCATGTCCAAATGTTAAAAAAGGCGATTTGTAAATTGTAATTTGTAGGGTCCAAGTTAGCCTAGGCTTACTTCACTTAGAGCAAGACTAACGTCATTAGCCCCACTAGTGTGGCATGGACTCTCACTCCCGATCCATCTTTAGCCACACATCCGTATACGCAATTTCGTGTCGGTGTACTGAACATTTTTGGCGCACCGACTTATCATGGGCGCAATTTCTTTTGCACGTGAACATGATTCTTGACCTTTCCGCTTTCTAAAAACTATTGAATGATTTCACTCACGTTATTGAGGTATTTTCCAGTCTTTTTGCCTTTATCCATTCAATCTAACGGGCTCCCTCCCACAGTCGCCATCTTTAAAATAAGGTCGTTGAACAATACGTCACTTGACCCCTCATCGTCTCGATGGCTCTTTCATGTCAAGACATCTAAACTGCTGCCAAAGTTTTGGAAGAGCTCAATGGTACATGTATAATATCGCTCAGTCCGTTTATTACATATGTCTTGACATGGAACAGCCGTCGAGACAATTAGGGGTCAAGTGACATAATGTTCGACGATCTTATTTTAAAGATGGCGACTGTGAGAGCGAGCCTGTTAGATAGAATGGATAAAGGCAAAAAGACTGGAAAATACCTGAATAATGTGAGTGAAATCATTCAATAAATGGTTTTTAGAAAGCCGAAAGGTCAAGAATCATGTTCGTGTGCAAAAGAAATTGCACCTACAATGATAAATGGGTGTGCTGAAATGTTCAATACGCCGACGCGAAATTGCCTATACGGATGTGTGGCTAAGGATGGATCGGGAGTGAGAGTTCGTGCCACACTAGTCGGGCTAGACTAACATGGGTCTTATATGTCTTACTCTTAGGCCTGCTAATTACCGTCAACACACCGTCAACTATGAACAACACACGATAGCAACGTCAATACACTGTCAACTCCTCAAAAATACAAGTTTAATCGACAGAAGAGCCATAGAAATGTAATTCTTGGACTGAAAGAGACTTTCCAGTGGTTTGCGGTCACAAATCAATTTTCAAAATAGGCCTAGATTTTTTTCACACCAAAAAAATTATGTGTAGCAGTTCACCGCCATCTTGCTTCCTCGTGGAGCTTGGACTGTGCCATTTCGGAGTGGGTATGGAGGTAATGCCAAAAACAACAGAGGGCACCAACTGGCATCTACAAATGGTTTGTACATTACTTGGATCATATTGTTAGTATTTTGTAAATTTCAATCTTTATTTTTAACTACGATCACTTCCTATAATGCAATCTTTACATTTGTGGATGATCCGACTGTCCTACAGTATGTTTGTTTATCATATAATATTATTACCAACCCTCTAGCGTAATAGTATGGTCCCAGCTGCCCCGGAGGCAACATGGCTGCTGATATCTGAGCTGATATGATGGAGGCAATTTCGGCAAAATTAAAACTGCAATTTTCCAGAGCTGCCAGAGTGTAACCTGTTAATGTTTAGCCAAACTATCCTTTTGGCAAACACCTTACTGTTGAATGCCGCCTCTTTTGTTTTTTAATGTGTTTTTGAGGTGTTGATGCTATATTGATGGTGTGTTGACGGTCCGGTGCGTGTTTACAGTAAATAGTGTGGCCGGCCACGGCACGGGTGTGTTGACGGTCCATTGTGTGTTTACAGTAAATAGTGTGGCCGGCCACGGCAGGTGTGTGTTGACGGTTCGCTGCGTGTTGACAGTAATTAGTGTGACCTACTAACGTGACTATAGACTCATGATCATGATCATTACTTTCAGAACTAGTAATATTACTAGTATTATTGAGTGTAAGGTTTATACAAACCTTACAGATAGCAACGTACATGTAAATCATCAGTTGTGTTGAGTTGATGGTACGAGTTGTCTAAAGGACAAGTTGACCTGTTCCCGTGTCCACGCACCTACTAACAAAGCTATGCTTGTGTGACTTTTTGCTTATGTGGCATGGATTCAAGTATAAATTATCCTTGTGTTTTTCCAAAAAAGTGTTGATTTCTGTAAGTACTTGTGTGTTTGACTGTTCACGTAAGTTTCACCCCCGTTCAGTAAAATGTACATTTGCAGATGTAGCAAATGAAAATCTTCTGCCATCTTGCACTCAGAAACAATCTGGTTTGTACTCAGTAATTTCATACAGGGAAAAGAACATATTTACATGTACATGTATATTTTCAATATGGTTTATGTTGCAATCTGATATCCTGAATATTTAGTATTACATTGTTATGCGATGGCTTAATGAAAAACAAGGGTGAAGGGTGAAATTCCTAATCTCGGTATTTACTTACAATACAGAAAAATCCCAACATCATAACGTCAACAGTCAAAATTCGACAGTAAAACTTCACAATTCTGACATCAAAAGAATGCTGTCAAACTTGAACTATTTGTGCAGTGTCTCCTGCAACTTTCATTTTGTTTGTTCAAACCATCGATAATATGGGCAGTGTTAGTCAAACTGTAGTTACATGTAACTGTAGTCGTTGCCCGAACTTGCCCTTTGTGATCAGTGACGGATAATGAGGGCCCCGGCCCTAGCCCTAGGCATGCTATATGTACATGTAGGTTCGGGCCTACTTTTTGTAGCTAACATGTACATGTACCTCTGTGGTACCTTTTTTGGTTTCCAGACTTGTCAGAAGTAATGTTAGGGCCTAGGGCATGTAGGGCCTAGACCTACATGTACATTTAAGCATGGAGGAAGGAAGAAGAGGGTCTTACTAATCACTGTCAACACACCGTCAACACATGAAAATGTCTTTTCACACTACAGCTTTTCAACCCGGGTTGAACTCAACCCTGGGCGAACCCATGATTTCCCTGGGTTGAAAATTTGATTTTTTTACCCCACATTCAACCCGGTGTTGTTTTTTATGTGAACCGAGCTTATCAGAGTAAGTTCAACCTGGAAATGAGCACAAAAAAATTTTCATCCCAGGTGAAAATCAATCTCGGTGTTGACGCAGGGTTGGTGGGGGGGGATTGAAAATTTCCAAGTGTGAATCGCATGAGCTCTAGTTTCTGTGTCTTCTCCTTTCAATTTTTACAAAAGGTGTGGGCAAAGTTTCACATGGGCAAACTTGGAAACGGACAAAGTGACTGTAAAACAATATTGAGGTGTTCACTTAAAAACACTGAAAAAATTTCAGACCGGTTTGTATGATTTGAGCACAGGATATCGAGTGGTGTCTTTTAATTATAGAATTCTTCCGTTTTCTTACAAACTTGTCATACTTCTTGTTGGGTTTTTACGTGTACTTTTACATACATGTACATGTAAGTGAGTGGAGTTAATATTTTTGATGTGCAAATGTACCCTAATCATGCTATTGTGGTGTGGGTCCCCAACTTAGTGCACTTTTATTTTTCACCAGTGCCCTGCTAGAGCAGTATTTTTTCTCTAATTTTACAAAAAATGAAATTTCATAAAGCTCTCAGCATCCACATTCATAAGTCTCGAGTTTACATGTATGTGCCACTGAAATTCCAGTACAATGTCATTTTGGCCTGATGTTTCTGATTTTTTTTAAAGTGAACTCTTTAAAGATATTTCCATAAAAAAGTGATTGGAGATGATAATGATTTATCATAATTTATTAATGTAAAAGAAATTCTTACATTTTAATGTGGAATTTTCTGAGATTTGTTCATGTGCAACATGTTTGTGAATACTCTGGTGAATTAATTTGTGCCCAATTTCTAGATACCACCTTTCTCAAATTTTGGGCTAAATTTCACAACATTGAAATTCGTCACAATTCAAACGCATTACGAAGGTACATAATAGCACTGGTTAACTGAATAAATTTGAAGTTTCAGTGAAGACATTTGGAAACTGTGCACAAGCAAAGTCACAGGAAATGTCACAGTGCACCATGTCAAGGGACTGTACTGTAATGATTTATCAGAATTTAAAGGTAATAACTTCAAAGCAATTGTTAAATTTGTGAGAATTTTGGAGATCTGTTCTACTGCACTACTTGTACATGTATGTCAGGGAACACGCAGCTGAATTTGTCCCAAATTTCTGGATGCCCCAATGTTTTAATTTCTGACTAAAATTTTATGACACTTGAATTGTTCACAAAGGTTTAACAGGATTGTACGTGTACATTTATTTTGAAAATAATACTTAGTACCAGTAAAATTAGCCTCTGAATGAATTTGACTTTTTTCAACAAATTTGTTTGGCAGCAGTGCAAATGAGGAAAGTTAAGGGCAATGTTGAAATGTGCCACATTTATTGGGGGACTCCACTATGTAGGAAGAGCAGTTGTGCATGTACTGTATGTACTGGTACAATGTATGTAATGTACATGTATGTGAAGAACTACTAGCATACCTGTAACATGTAACCTGTACATGTAGGACCTATGTAAGTCTGGTAGGCCAAAATGTTACATTGATAATTGTATAAAGTTTTACATGTAGGCTCTACTAACTACATGTAACTCTGAAGCCTTTGGTTTGTTGAACATGGTGGAAGGAAAATTTTGCAGTGTCGTGAACATTAGCCTTGAGCTGGAGTTACCACTGTATAACAAGGCTAGATCCGTGGGGTTCATCGTGCAGTGTGTGTGATGAACTCCATGCATGTAAAAATATAGTTCTCGAGTTATATCCCGTGAGTTACATGTACTCAAGCCATGGACTCAGAGAAATAAGCTCCAGCTAACATGTACATGTACACTGTACACAGTGTACAAGTACATGTACAATTGTACATGTACGTGTGGGTTTAAATCATCGCATGATCTACATGTACATGTACATGTACCGTACACATGACTATAGCCTGCTGGTAGAGGGAAGCGAACAAGTATTTCAAACATATCAAAATCAAATACATGTACGGTACATTTTGAAATTCGTTTGGTAGATAGATATTAACTACATCTGTTAGTCCAGAAAAGGTACATGTAGTTCCCTTACAACTGTGGGGCTCCTGTTTCTGACTCTGAGCTTGGAGTCAGTGAGGTTGAAAGAGGACAGCATACCACCACCTGTTCATATAGCTCTGAAGGTTGGAGGTGTGGGCTAAAGTCTTCTGACATTGCTCATTTTATCGATGCCAAATGATTTTGTGAGGAAAAAAATGCTTTTGGAAGAGACTGAGAATTTGAGATACACACATTTTACAACTCAGGCTACACAAACTTTGATCATCTAGAATTGTCATTTTCTCCTATTGTATGTCAGAAAGTCATTCATAAACAATAAATGTTTTATTTTTTTACTCTCAATTTCTTATGTTCGTACATGTACATTGTATACACCCTGTAATCATGTTTTATTTTTGCCAGGGTTGCAGATTTGGATTGCACATGTGTACATCATGTCTTCAGAATACCTTTGCAATCCTCTTTACTATGTGGAAGCCATGAGACATAAACATCCACAGCTGCTAAATGACTGGTGCTGCACCGAGTTGTCTCATGTTCTAGATTTCAGTGGATCAGATGGGCTTGGTCAGGTGTTGGCTGGTGTTGTTGATTTACGTCACGGCAAGACATTTGTCAAAAAGTTCACTAAAAACAAGCAGAGAGGTATGTGTTCATACATGTATATGTTTAATTTTAAAGGATGTATATTAACTTCATCCAATCTGGATAAACAAACTTCTTACTCAAACCCTATGATTCAACAAAAATTCTGGTTTGATATACATGTACATGTACGTGTATATAGTGAATATAAGGCCAAAGCTGGTCCTGACGACATTTTTGTGTACTTTTTAAATCAGGGATAACAAAATTTTTGGCTACATGAGAGTCAACTGCACTTATATATGTATGTTTTTAATGTGTCTGAATCCATTTAATAAACGTCCAAACGAGCGTTGGTTCTGGATTTATAAGAACGACAGTACTTTCATGAGAAGGCTACATTGATCCTCCTCTGTATAATTTCTTTTTTATTACTTTGGCTGATTTTCCTCACAAAGTGATGAATCTGTGCACGTAGCTTTATGTATGGGTACATGTACATGACCTTACATGTGTAGCATGTGTAACAGACATTTTGGCCATAGGGCATTTTTCTGTATGAATCACAAATATACATGGCTTCAGCGTGTGTCCAGTTGCCAGCACAAAAAGGACACAGGCTCTTTTGTGCAGTCCTCTTCACTGCAGTTGTTTACTGCACAATTATACACATTAAACAGTGAAGCACACTTGCTGGACACCACAAAAGTGCAATCTAATATCCTGTGAGGGATACACATATGTTTACATGTAGTTGGTGCAATGCACAGTATGACATAGTTGTGCATCTTCGTATGGCTTACTAACTGACCCAAAGAGTGACTTCAGCATCTAATTTCACCAAATTTGATTCAAATGTTGATACTGTGCAATTAGTTGTCTTCATTTTTGATTTCTGCCAGAACTATGGAAATTACTCTAAAATCAGTAAACATGTACAGCTCCTATATTAAAAAGAAATGTTACACACATGTAGAAATGGCTGTTACCAGTGGTATCAACATGGTACTGAGATGTAATGTCAAGTACATGTACATTTAAACCATTCGGATTCCCCTATAGCAGCAAGCAAACATTTCCAGTTTTACTAGTTACATGTATGCCCGTACATTGGCCATACATGTAGCATTCCAGAGCTTCAGCATTACAAATATTGGAGGGAAAATACAGTATCTTTTATCTGTTCTTTTTATCTGGATGAATTTTTAGCTAATTCCCAAAGTGGGGTATTTGGTGCGCCTCTGTCAGAAGACGGTTACCGTCAGGCTCGACAACTCATTGACTTCCTGAAGGATTGTGAGTATTGCATCAGTATGGTACGGTAATATTTATCTGTATATTTGTGATAATCAAATGTCACATTGCCAGACTCACATCATCTGTATGTACATTGAGTCTATCACAAGTTCCTGTGAGTTATCCTGTCTTAAGCCAAATCACAAACCGACTCTAGCATTCTTTTGTAATTGTTCACTGTGTTACAGCTATTCTTGTGAGAGTGACTGACTTGTGAAAGGACTTGCATATACATGTACAGTATGATAGATGCGACTACATCACTGAATGCCTGTTGGCTGAGACAGTACTATGTGTATATTGGAAAGATAACCTGCATCTACTTCAAAAAGTTATTTAAAAAGCTGAAAAAATCAATTACATCAAATAAAAGTCATAATAACTCAAGTGTATTTCCAATCTGTTGCTAATGCCGACCCTAATTACTGTGCAAGATCTTAAATTCAATCTTAATGCTACACAAATGTTTAAGAGCCTAGTGAGCCATGTTTACACGAAATGTATTGACCAAATTCTGTATTTCGGTGCTTGGCCAAACAACACTCTAAACTCTTCAAATATTGTAAATAGGAAACAATGAGCTTTAAATTTTCATTCATAAATACCCAGGACAGTTTTTGTATTCCTATTGTTTGAAATGCATTATGTGACCGTGTATCAGCATTTGATAATGCCCTCTGAGAAGTGATAATGCCCATTGAGAAGTGATAATGCCCACTGAAAAGTGATAATGCCCACTGTGAAAATCACGCGCTGGCACATGGATACGAGACAATTCAATTGAGTCTGATTGGTCAGGAGTCTGTGTTGACAACTTTCAAAAGAAATATTCCTTAAAATGGACAGGGGTGTTTGGGAAAATGAAAGTAAAATTTTAGAACGAAATCATTGGAAATCCATCACATGTTGACTTCTTTTGATTCTCTGAATTAAAAAGTATTTTATGAATGGGAAAAAATATGTGCTTGACCAGTCTTAAACTAACGTTTAAGACCAGCTCAGGAGACTGAATGCTGATAATGCCCTCACCTACGGCTAGTTGCGTCCAGTCTCCTGAACTATTTAAGACTGGGCAAGCACATATTTGTTCCCATACTCAGTGATATTAGAAAACAATTACCAATTAAATCCATGTTACATGTATTTCAAAACGACTTTTTATAAATACAATTGCTTCTACTATTGCTTTTAGTTATTACCAAGGAAGGTATCTTTCGTGTACCTGGTAACTCTGAGCGTCAGCGTCGGTTGAAGGACAAGATTAGTAGTGGTCTTTTGGTTGACCTCGAGAATGATGTGTTTACCGCACATGATGTAGCTTGCGTCTTGAAAACATTTCTTGGAGACCTACCTGAACCACTGCTGACAGACAAGCACTATCCAGCTCATGTACAGGCTGCAGGTATGAGTAGCTCTGAGGAGTGAAATACATTACACATATTGTGTATCTAATTTTCAATATTGACCATTTCCTGACAACTCCTGGGGAGTTTAAGAAATGGTTTTACATGTATGTGGTTCAAATTTGTTTCACAAAAATGGTTCAAAAGCCCAATTCCCATGTTAAAGAGATGGGCCATGCTGGGAAGATTTCTTGTAAAATATGCATCAACACATAAAACAAACATACAAGAAAACACACCTGCATAATTTCAAAATGCATGGAAATATGTTAAAAATTATAGTTTTCACGACCCTATTTCACTCCCTTCTGGGAGCAAAAGCTAAACAATAGCTGTCGGGTACCGAAAGTCATCTGAAGAAATTCCAAAGAATCGTGACGTCATAGGACGGAGTCCTCTATCAGAGATGCCACTTTTCCGATTTTAACGGAAATCCAACTTTTTGGTATTTTTCTCCCCAAATCCGATTTTTTACATTTCCCCCTTCAGTGTTTTCAACATTGACAAAATTAAATAAAGAAGAAAAGACTGGAAGCAGATCTATGATGCGCATGTATCCTGCGCTGCACAACTGGGTATTTAATCTTGTGCACAGTTGTCAGTAGAGTACTTATACATCAGTCATATTGTGGTGTGAAATACGAAGGACAGTGTTCGAATTCAAACCAGTTTTTTGAAATTTTTGCATGGAATGTCATGTGCATTTTTATTGCAGGCACAGCATACTGCATATGGTGCAATGATAACCTAAAATATGGTAAAGGCAGCGAGAGGGTTTTCAAAAGTCGTGCTCAGACAAAGAAACATCTGAAGTTCAAAACACCGTCAAGAACTCTCAGCCCTTCCCAGCAGCATTTCACAAGGTGTTGAAAAACACTCTTGAACCCGATGGAAAGGAAGTCTGCACTTAACCATATGGCGCTGCTTCAAATGTACATGGTTCCTCATGTTCGTCCATTCCAGAAACTGTTGCTCCAGTTGTAAGCTTTGGCGACCGAATGTCACATGCAGAGGCAAGAACTGTGTCATTTATTGCAGAGCACTCCCTTCCATTGTCACTCTCTCCTCGGTTAATTGAGTATGCCAAGGAAATGTCAAAGGATCACAAAGCATTGGACAGTATTTCAATGGGCAGAACCTGTGCCCAGTACAAGCTGAGCAATGGGCTGTCTGAAGTTCTGCACAAACGACTCATCAGCACTCTTCAAAAAGTTCCATTCTCAATGAACACTGATGAGTGCACAGCCAGAAATAACCAGAAGATTCTAGATATGCTGGTATTTTACTTTTCAGAGGAGGAGAAGCACACTGTTGTTTACCCGTTGGCTTCTGTGTCGCTGCTGGCAATAAGTTCTGAAGTTGTGTATTAAGCAGTTTGTTACATTTTTGAAGAAAACAACATTCTATACACCAACCTTGTATCAGTCCTTTCAGATTCAGCTGCATACATGAGGGCAAAACATCTGGCTTCGAAACTCTGCTGCTCCAAAGAAAAGTACCACACCTCCTTGACATCGATGCGGACTTGTGTCACCATATCCACAACTGTGTCAAATTGTTTTGTTCTCACTTTGAGCACAGAGTTGAACATCTACTGTATGTGATGATCTGCACAGGGACATGAAGTGGTCTCCAGATTTGAAGGCTTTACTTCAGGAATTATGTAGTATCTCCAAAGGAACGAGTACCACACCGCTGGCTGTCTGTCCTTGATACTTCTAGTGATATTGTTCTTATGTTTCCAGCTATTTTATGCATGTATTTTGCATATGTGCCTAAGGATGAGCAAGAGCTGTACAAGGACTTCATCAAGACATCCCATCTGCCTGAATCAACCAAGTTTAGGCTGAAAGAAATCAGAAGATTGTGCGCTGCAAAGTTCAAGACTTCAACAGAGCAGGAAAAGAAAGGAAGACCAGAATCATGAAAATGCTGTTCCATGAACACAATCAAACAATGGCTTCCCTCTACCTGTACAGTGATGTCTTGCCAGTGTTTAAGTCTTGTGTATTGCTGTTCCAGCAGTCCAGCCCCATGATACACAGAATCCGTGCTGAAATCACCAGTCTTGTCAGAACATTTCTGTCAGGTTTCTGTTGTCATGAGAAGATTAACCCTAACCCTCCTCAATCCTTCACCTGTTGGAGGACTGAGGAGTGTTAGGGTTAAAGATGCATCCATTAAGGAGTTGCAGACATTGAAACTGTTGGAATATCTTTGTCCACTGTCAGAGTTCTACATTGGTCGGAGTGCGAGAAAATGCATTGCTCGCCTGCCAAAATCTCTTCGAAATGAGTTCATCCTGAAAGCGAAAGAAGCATATGTAACAACAGGAGAATATCTGCTGAAAAAGATGCCCATTGGTTATTGCCTCCTGCGTAGACTTTCTGCACTAGATCCTAAAGCTATGGGGTTTTCTGTCACATACTCAGTGCGGAAGGAACTTCCTTTGCACTTAGCATCTGTGTTTCATAGTGATAGTGACAGAGATCTGTATGAGCAAGAAGTATCAAGACTGCAACTGGATTAACCCTGCCACCTGTGGAAATTGATGGACATACAACAGAACTGGATAAATGGGGGGGGGGTGAAGTACTGGCAACAAAGAAATATCCCTGTCTTGGTAGGGTCTTCAAGTATGCACTCAGCCTTTTCACAGCCCCTAAAGTTGAGCAGTCCTTCAGTGTGATGAACCCTCTGGTAAATGCAAAAACCAATCGCTTGAATGTGTCAACACATTATGTTAATCAGACTGTCAAGTATGATCTGAAAGCGAAAGGAACAACAACACTCCACTTGTATAAGTGACCAGACATGCCAAAGAACCCTGTGGATCATAGCCTTTGCTACCACATGCAAACAGCTTCATGGAGAAAAAAGTAAAACAGAGAAAAAGAGCAAAGGGTACAGGTTCAGAGCATAGGACAGTGGCAGCAACTGCAGCAGCAAAGACGACACAAATCTCATCAAGTGTCAAGAAATGCAAAAAAAGCACCTGTATCTAGTCTTAAGGAAAAAAGAACACTCAGCATGCACTACAGGGCACAAAAAGTGCGAAAAGCTATGTACTCAAACAGGGCAGGAATAATGAAAGCCAGTACTGGAGTTAAAAGCCGCCACCAGTGAAGGTAAACGAGTACATTTGTGTACACATACATCATTCAAAATTTTCAAATACATTTCTTTGTTTTATTGTGTCCCCTGCAATGCCTTCGTCTTAGATTCACGTATCCTCTGCTTATCACTTGTTTAAAGCATAGACGGTCATTTTCAGATTTTTTGGGCATAGGCTAGTGGCATCTCTGCTCTATCTGGCGACTGTTATGTAACAACATGTAGACATGTCGCGTGTTATCATGTCAGACTCCAGTGATGATGATTCCAGCGTTGATGCTTTTTCTGATCATGACAGTGATCAGTTGTCATGTTCGTCTTATTCTTTAATGAAGAAAGTGACATTGAAGGAGCTGATGAGGCACAAGAAATATTGCCTGGTCAGTTCAAAACAGAGTACCCTCAAGAAGAGATTTTGCAACTGGAGGCTGTTGGTCATGGCATGGTGGCAACCCGCAGGATCGACAACAAAATACTGACTAATTTTGGATTTTTGCCCTGCTCAACATGCATTGCAACACTCTGTACTCAGTGTTTGCCCCCAAATGCTTATGAGAAAACCCACAAGTTTACTCGGGTGGGACTCGAACCCACGACCTGCTTACTAGTACAGATGGCTTAACCACTCGATCACCAAGCTCGCCGGTGTCGGCTGGCTGGTTTGAGTCAGATGTAGCAGCAGGTACCACGAGCAACTATTTCCAACGATGGCAAGCTTGGTGGTCCCCGGCGCAAATCCATCTTTGGAAAAACACTGACTGGTAATAATTTTTCTCTGCACCATTGTAAAAATTTGTCTTTCTAAAAAGACGTAATTGTCCTATCACTGGCTATTCGATAGCTGTATTTGCTGATGTTTGTTTGATAAATCCTGTTTTAAAGTGAAACAGGCACGTATTATCGTTGACAACCGGCAAAACCAGGTGTCCCGAAATGGTTGGATGTTTGGTTAGGATTTATCTTTAGGGCCTACTGCCTACTGGGAAAGCTAGATTGCCTTCCTTGTCTTTTATCCGTTTTGCCAGTTTGGTTGTTTTTTTGTGTGTTTCAGTGATTTTTTTGGGGGGGGTATTTTTTTGGCCATGGTTATACATGTAGGCTAGTCTACTTGGTCCAAGTTGGTGTTCCGTTCCGACAATTTTTTTCACGGTGCACTGTGAGTCGCTTGCTTGGACCAATCAATTTTCTTAGAGGAACTATGCATTCTGGTCTGGAAAGTTGAGTCCGTCCTATGATGTAGCATTTTTGCCAAGATTTGTCTGCTACCCCTATTGACCGATTTCGATACATTTTTGTGAAGAGCCCAGGCAGAGACTGAAAAAAAGCACACAGAAAACATCAAGTTTTGCTGATTTAATGTAAATTGGGGGTTGAAAACTATCATATAATGTCAATTTAACCCTATATGGCCCGTCCCCTTTAAGGAATTTTGTTCTACTGCAGTGAGTCTGGTTAAATACATGTGCATAGGTTTACTGCCCAGGGCCAATTGCATGCACATGGCTTGTGATAAAACATAGCAAAGCTGCAGGTACAGTATATTGTTACTTGCACAACTTTTTTCAACTCAATATAAAGTCGGATTTAAATAACCAAAGTCCTTAGACTAAAAGTACGATGAAGTTCACCGATCTTGGTCTTCCTCTGGTTGTACGTATTTTTTATTCTTAGGCCACATAAAAACAATTGTTGATCGCCCTCGCCTGACCCATCAAAACTCCCTGATCCCAAGTTTTTACTTTTTAATCATCTATTTCATGTTTGCTATACATTACTAATTGATTGCTACATGAAATCAGTTTTTTGCTATACGAAAAGAAAATTGTACAGCACATTTGCAGTACAAAATTTTGGAACCAAAATGCTAACTGATGCTCTATCAGCCTGAGTTTTAAATGGTTTGGCCTAATATGTGTATGTGCAGTATACATTGACTGCACTTCCTTCAGTATGGTTAAAAGTTTAGCTGGAATTTATTGCCGCTGTTAAGTTTAACTTTTTTTCTTAGTTATAGTATGATTTTCAGTTTATTTGTTTTGAAAGGTACATGTATTTATCGTGCCAAAAATCATACTTGTAATACATGAACTTGCAAAGTGATTTGCCTTGTAAATAGGCAGCAAAAGTTTCAGTTTAGTGTGCATGTATCATTTATCTTAACCATTTCGAAAGCAATGGTGCAGCAGGTAGAATCAAGTGGGACCTACGGGAGGGTGCGGGATGTTTGAATTAAGGCATCCAACAGCAGCAACATGTACATTGTACACTCTGAATATGACAAACTTAAAACAAGTGTCTTTGAATGGTGTCACTGACTACATGTAGGAGACCATTTGTTTAGCCAAAAATGAGTTTGGACCTTGTTGCTCTAAGCAGGCTTGTTACATGTACTTTGACAGTTGTAGTGTATGTGAATGTTTATGTGTTGTTGCACTGAGCAGAGATTTTTTTGCCAAAACACCATGAGGTGTCAGCAATAATGGTTGCATATACTGAAAAACTAAAGCAAATAACGTGCTGTGGAGTGACCCTTTGATCAGTGTTGATTATAACAAAAATCAAGTTTGTATGAAATGCGAAATTTGACGTGGGTTCATGTACAGTTACTGTAGGTTTAACAATGAGCTGTCAGTGTAGCAGATAACTGATGTCCTGGGTGGTATTGACAATTCAAATCATAATTCTTGCAGGTCTTACATATGAAATGGATAAAGTTCCAAGCCTAACTGAAGAGTTGGGGAGAAGGTATCAAGCCCAGAGAATCCATGAGCACATCACAGCATTACGCTATCTGTTCCTCATGCTTCCACCTGTCAACTTTAAAATGCTGAGAGAAATTCTGGAGCTTCTGCATTGCATCACTAAGCAGGAAAAACTGAATAAAATGTCTGCCTTTAACTTGGGTGTCATGTTTGCACCACACATTCTGTGGCCCAGATATGTAAGTAATACAGTGATATAGGATTTTTTTCATGTAATTTTTTAGCGTAAAATGATGGCAATATATTTTGAGTATCAAGCCATGATCCTGGGGCAGCTCAGACAACATGGAATTTTAGTCATTTATTATAACAGTGATATAGGTTTTTGAATTTTGCTCTTCCCCAAGGGTATTCCATCAAATTAACCACTTCCTGCCAGGCGACCTATTTTCAAGTACATACATGTAGGCTTTATATGCAGAGCTGGGGAGCTCGGAACTGGGACAAAAGGGTTGGGCCTTATAACAAAAATGAAATGATGAATTTTTGAAGAATTTTGAAAACGGAAAATCTTGAAAAGGACCCAGCATCTTGTCTTGCTCAAGAAAAATCCAACCGGCAGCAAGTGGTTAAGGCAATTAATAATGCTGTCAAAAATTTGGGATACATCACAAGGCCTTATAAAATGTACCCAGAGGCTACATCACAGAGTGGGCAAAATTGGTAATGATGAATTTTAAATGATGTAAGTAGCCAAACATCAATTTGACAGCACTTTATTGGTTTATTTGAATTGCACATATATCAGGCATGCAACTTTTCCTTGGATCACCTGATTTCGTCATTTTTCACTTGAACACTGTACGAAGTCTTGTAAAGATTGGAATTTCCTTGTTTTTTTTTCTTGGCCAAAGTCCAAGTTGCATGCCTAATACATGCATTTGCTAATAGAATAGACAAGAACTTGCTAGTACCTCTTTATTTGAAAGGGGTAACTCTAAACATCCCTCCCAGTTCACTCGAAAGTTGTATCAACTACATGGACATGGACATGAATAAGGACTCCTCTAGTATCTGGAAACAGACAAACAGGAAAAATGTTAACCATGGAACAATTTATTTATCCTGTTTCAGTTGACCACCGAAGATCTTCGCAATCAGGTACTTGTCAATAAACTCAATTGTGGTGCAGAGTTTATGATCACTCAATGTCACAAAATCTTCAAGGTAAGACAATTCAACTGCCTACATGAATGTCTGTTTGACTGTGAGGACATAATAAAAAGACTGATTGTTTCTAGTCAAGTGGCTTTGGGCCCACTGTCTCAGCTGAGCACTCTTTTTTAACTTGTAAATCTCAGTATCTAAACAATTCACTTATATAAAAAAAAGTGAAGTACTTGCAGTGGAATCTCAACCACTCTGATAGTGTTGGTAGCTTCATGCGTGTAACTATGTTTACTTACATGTACCTACACCGAAAATTGTCTACATCCATGACCTCATCTCAGTGTTGAAAACCTCATCTCAAAATTTTCTCCAGGGAAGGCTTAGCTTTCAGACAGAAATTTAGATTTCATGGTGTCATACTAAAGAGGACATCATACTGAAAGAGATTATACTTACCATTTACAAAAATTATTAATTGCATTCAAGAAACAGATCAATTAACCACTCCCTGCTGGAGATTCCGGATCCGGACACGTATGCTTTATATGCATGGCCGGGATCTCCGAACTCGGACAAAGGGAACAGGTCCTTGTAACAAAAGACCGTACTCCGAACAAAAGACCAGGCTGCTGGGAATTAGCGAAATTTTTCACTCTTAAAAGTGGAGATAATCCAGCCTTGTTTTGAAACAGTATACCACAGTTTGGGGCATTTAAAGCGAGCGGATTACCATAAAAGCGCTGCATGCTAATCTGGCCCCTATTGAAAAGAGGTTAGCAGCACACTGAGCCAGGTTTGTGAACAAAAGAAAGTTACATAACACTGCACAATCTAGGCTCTTTTTACAAGGCTGCAGGCCTGGCTGAAATACTCAGGCATCAATAGATTTTGTCTGTCAGGCTAGAGTGGACACCAGACAGTCCTTCACATGTTTGTAAGTGTCCAGTAAATGAGGATAGGAATTTTAAAGAATTTTGAAAACAGAAAAAAATGATAAATATCCCGGCCCAGCATCATCAACATTGATGACTGCCCCCGGCAGGAAGTGGTTAATATTGGTTTTCTTGTTTTAAGGCACTCTGTATGTATGTATGTACATGTATGTATGTAAACATTTAAACTTTCTAAGTGTATTGTACAGATTAAAGCAGACATCTTGTTCATGTAAAAATTTTATTATAGGTACCAGCTAAGATGTTGAAAAGATGTGAGCAGTACGTCAAAAATGGCAAGCTTGAAGATGATGAAGAACCAAAACCCAAAGAAAGGAAGGCAAAGGTATAATGGTAAATTCCTAGCATTATGATGTTTAATTGTTTACATCCCAAGGTCAATCAGCCACAGTGGCCTTTGTGACTGATGTATGTGTATCCTTTTGTAGCACTAAGTCTTTTAGTATTTCCTATTACGCTTTACTCTTGGCAGTCATAATATACATTGTAAAATTTGCCTTCACTACAGGAATATCTGGCTTCACTCTTTTCTTACCATATTCAGCAATCTTGAAGAATGTTACTGACAAGCTGTACATGTATTTCATTTACAGACATAGTTACTAAAGGATTTATAATCTCTAAAGATTTAAATCTGGAAGAAAAAAAGGTGTTGATAAACTGTTGTGAACGTAACATTGACACCGTGTGTATGTTACATCCACATCTCCTCACCACAAAGGCCAAGTGGTTAATATGAACACAAACACAAGACAATAAAAACTTTTGCCATTTCATAATCAACTATTTCATGTAATTTTGAGATGAACAGAAATAATGCTTTTCTCTTAAAAAGTTAATTTCATGGTACAGAAAATGGGTTCTAACCAAGTCTTCTGCTGATTGTTGAAAATGCCATGCAATGTGCATGTACATGTACTTATTTTTTAGTTAAATTCTTTGCCAAGCAAAAATGCTTTTAATTGTTTATATTCAATGATTCCAACATGTTCAAAAATCAAATAAATGTATTATAGAACTACATGTATGTCATTCAGTCATTCCTTGTAAAACATTCATGGAGTGATCTTGTTTGCCCATGAGAACAGTGTTGCAGACGTAACATTGACACCACACCTGTGTAGCACCTGCTTAGTCCATCTTTAAAGAAGAAAGATTATTTTAACAAGTCAACAATGATGTATTTCTGCATGTATGTATTAACCACTTCATGCCGGGGCATTTTTCAATGTTGATGATGCTGGGCCGGCATGACTATCATTTTTTCTGTTTTCAAAATCCTTCAAAATTCATCATTTCATTTAACGGTCGTTTATAGCCGCACCAAGTTATCTTTAGGCACGACTCTAAGTTGAT